ATAGGTGCTTCTTTTAGAGCCAGCTCCACTGCTGGTCCTGGAGGTTTTTTGGGGAAGGCAATCAGAAAAATTTACAATGTCCTTGACTACTACAGGGAATAGGTCTACGACACCGGCTGCAAAAACAGGATCAACTTATTAGGCACAGTAGACACAGTGAAACTTTTACTGTCCCATGAAAATATTTTAATTTTAATTTCTTTTGAAATCAGAAGAAAAATAAAAACACTGTAATAATGAGCATATAATAATGAATTCAGCCAGGGTCATATGTGTCATTATATCAATGCAATTGGAAACTCTAATTTTAAATTTTTTTTTTTTTTTGAAGGAAAAAGGGGTCTTCAAAGGCAAAGGTGCCTGGGGCCCACACAAGTCATAATCCAGCCCTGAGTAAAAGGAGGGGTGCTAGGGACTGAATTATGCTCCCCCAAATTTCTCGTGCTGAAGCCCTAACTCCCCAAGGTGACTATATTTGAAGATAAGGCTTTTAGGAGGTAATTAAAGTTAAATAAAGTCATAAGGGAGGGGCCTTAATTCAATAGGATTGTTGGAAGAAGAGGAAGAGAGAGAGAAATCTTTCTCCCTGAAAGCACACACTTAAGTCAACACCATTTGGGGACACAGGGAGAAGGCGCTGTCTGCAAGCCAGGAAGAGAACCCTCACCAGGAACCAAATAAGCTCCCCATGCTGATCTTGAACTCTCTAACCTCTAGAACTGTAACAGATAAATTCCTATCGTTTAAGTCACACCAGTCTTTGGTATTTTGTGCAATGGCCTCAGACATCACTAAATGACGTTGATTACATTCTATTACCCCAAAACCCTAGTTCTAGCTTCATTTTCTGTTATTGAACTTTAGGCTTCAGGCTGGGAACTAGGCAAGCTTGCAGTTTGTTAGGTAGGTAGGCATTCTTTTTTTCCTCTGCCTATTTGAAGCGCTACCTACTTTGAAGGTCGCAGATCAGCAGCAGAAAAAAAAATTTTTTAAGCTTTTTTTTTAATTTGAGAAGAAATCAAAGGTGGTGTTTTTTTTTTGTTTTTTGTTTTTTTTGTAATAAAATTTTATTGGCTTGGCACGGTGGTTTATACCTATTATCCCAGCACTTTGGAGGCTGAGGCAGGAGGATCACTTTAGCTAGGGAGGTCAAGGCTGCAGTGAGCTGTGATCATGCCACTAGACTACAACCTGGGTGACAGAGTGAGACTCTGTCTCAAAAGAAAAAAGCACAGAAAAAGAAAGAAAATTACTTACAAATGTGTGAAAAGATTCTTAATCTCACATAATTAAAGAAATACAAATCAAAGCATCCCAATTTTTTTTTTTTTTTTTTTTTTTTTTTGAGACGGAATCTTTCTCTGTCACCCAGGCTGGAGTGCAATGGCATGATCTCAGCCACTGCAACCTCCACCTCCTGGGTTCAAACAATTCTCCTGCCTCAACCTCCTGAGTAGCTGGGATTACAGGTGTGTGCTACCATGCCCAGCTAATTTTTTTTTTTTTTTTAAGACCTTGTCTTGCTCTGTAGCCAGGCTACAGTGCAGTGGGGCGATCTCAGCTCACTGCAACCTCCAACTCCCTGGTTCAAGCGATTATCTCGCCTCAGCCTCCCGACTAGCTGGGATTACAGGCACGCACCACCACGCCCGGCTAATTTTTCTATTTTTAGTAGACAGATTTCACCATGTTGGCTAGGATGGTCTCAATCTCTCATGATCCACCCGCCTCAGCCTCCCAAAGTACTGAGATTACAGGCATGAGCCACCGTGCCCGGCCTAATTTCTCATTGCCCAGACTGGAGTGCAATGGCACAATCTCAGCTCCCTGCAACCTCCGCCTCCCAGGTTCAAGAGATTCTCCTGCCTCAGCCTCCTGAATAGCTGGAATTATAGGCATCCACCACCATGCCTGGCTAATTTTTTCTATTTTTAGTAGAGACGGCATTTCACCATGTTGGCCAGGCTGGTCTTGAACTCCTGACCTCAGGTGATCCACCTGCCTCAGCCTCCCAGAGTGCTGGAATTACAGGCATGAACCACTGCGCCTGGCCAACTTTTGTATTTTTAATTGAGACGGAGTTTCAACATGTTGGCCAGGCTGGTCTCGAACTCCTGACTTCAGGTGATCCACCTGCCTCGGCTTCCCAAACTGCTGAAATTATAGGCGTGAGCCACCGTGCCCGGCCCCAATATTTTTTAAAATAAGAAACAAAATAAATAAAATCACAGATTCCATTTAGGCACTTCCATACATTGCTGGCTGCAATTTCTTTGTAGGGCAATTTGACAACAATCAAAACTTAAATGCGCATTTCCTTTGATCCAACAATATAAAAGTACTTCCAACAGTTCTATTTGTACATGATTGCAAAGATTTAGATCCAAGAATGGGCCAGGAGTGGTGGCTCATGCCTGTAATCCCAGCACTTTAGGAGGCTGAGGCAGGCGGATTGCTTGAGCCCAGCAGTTCAAGACCAGTCTGGGCAACATGGCAAAAACCCGTCTACAAAAAATACAAAAATTAGCCAGGAGTGGTGGGGCACAGGTGGGAGGATCGCTTGAGACCAGGAGGTAGAGGCTGCAGCGAGCCATGATCACGCCACTGCAGTCCAGACTTGGGGACAGAGTGAGACTGTCTCAGAAAAAAAAATAATTTTTTAAAAAAGATACAAGGATGTTCATTGCATCATTTCCAATAACAAGTGACAAACTAAACGCCCAAGAAGAGATTAAGTAAGTTACGTAGCGGATCAATAAGTATTTCCAGCCTTCCCCTACCATCTGCCAGTTACAGATAATTCAGTCTTGGGTCAACTTTCTCCTCTTCCTCTATAAGGGAAATGTTCAAGTGTTTAGACTTTGGTGACGCAGCATGATTGGGAAAGCAGAGGGGACAGAAAGATGCCAGGCTTTGTGGTCTCCAGGCAAGCTCAGAAATGTGACAAAGTAAACGGAAAAGGAAAGGGGGGCTGGGAGCAGTGGCTCACGCCTGTAATCCCAGCGCTTCAGGAGTCTGAGGCTGGTGGACTGCTTGAGGCCAAAAGTTCAAGACCAGCGTGGTCAACATGGTGAAACCCCATCTCTAATGAAATCCAAAAGAATTAGCTGAGCGTGGTATCGCACATCTGCAATCCCAGCTACTCGGGAAGCTGAGGCATGAGAATCGCTGGAGCCTGGGATGTGGAGGTTGCAGTGAGCTGAGATCATGTCACCACACTCCAGCCTGGGCGACAGAGCAAGACTCTGTCTCAAAAAAAAAAAAGGAAAGGTAAATTTATAATGTATTGCTGGGACCACACGAACCCTTCATATGTACCAGGAATGCAAGTAGAGGAATTGAGTTATTTTGAAATATTTGTTGGTTGGTGATTTATATTTCCTTGATTTACACACTGCTCTGAGTGTGGCTTCAGAAGTGTTACATATGCATAATAAAATCCTTTACAGCTATTAAAATGAGTGAGGTAGGAAAGCATACTGCTAAAAGCAAAGAAGCCAGATGAGAACTGTGTACTGTATATTCCTACTTGTTTAAAAAGTGTATCTATTGTATTCACATATGTATGTTTTCCACTACATAGAAGTTTTCCGGAAGCTATTTCTGCACATTTATAAAGATGCACATGTCTAATAATTTCATTTTTCCCTGTTTTCTACTTTATTGCTCTGAGGTCAACATTGAATAGTCCTTATGAAGTTGAAGAATATTTAATATTCTTTCAACAAACAAGTCTACGGATCTCAACCACTGGAGCTCAGAAAACGATACCCCAAAGTAGGAGGCTGTGGCACGCTAAGTACTTTGAACTAAAGGAGATTGGAAGGTCTCAGAAGCAGCCTTAGAAACAAAGTCTACCCATGACCTTCTCCTGCCCTCCTGTCTCCAGCCCGCTTGCAGCCCTGAAGTCACAGGAACCAGAATTCTTCTTCCCCAAGGAGGGTTATGGAAACTTAGAACCTTCAAAGTAATTCATCAACTTGGAAACATTACTCTAACATTTTCTTCTCTCTCTGTCTCTCTTTCTTTGAGACAGGGTCTTGCTCTATCACCCAGGCTGGAGTGCAGCAGCATGATCATAGCTCACCATAGCCTCCTGGGCTCAAGCAATCCTCCTGCCTCAGCCTCCCTAGTAGCTGAGACTACAGGTGTGTGCCACCATGCCCAACTAACTTTAATTTTTTTTTTTTTTTTAATAAGGGAGTCCTGCTACATTGCCCGGGCTGAGAATTTACATTTCTAACAAGTTCCAAGGAGATGCTCCTCTGCTGGTCCAGGGATGGCCGTTTGAAGCTCCCTGCATAAAGGCATACACGCGACTTGATCCTCAGTGGGGGCACCAGCAGCTGGAGCCTCAGGAGTGGGAAGCGAGAGCACACAACTAAATGAGGACCACGAGGTCATCGTGGAGGACCTAGGCTGCAGGTCCTGAAGAAATCCCCATAGTTTCACGGCCAAGCCAGCCAGGTGGACATCTCAGGGATGAGGAGGTGAGGAGGCAAGACAGAAAGTGAAACAGCACTTTATAGAGTAGGGATGGGAAGGGCATCTGCATCACCGGACTCCTTGGAGCGGGGTTCGGTCATTGCTCCAGATGAAGGTTTAGTCTTTTCATTGTAAATTTGCTTCCACTGTTGGGAAAGACATCTTTACCTCCATTTTCTTAACTTCAAAGTGGAAATGACAGATGCTTTTGAGTGGTCTGAATACTTGAAATTTGAGGGAAAATGTTGCCAGAAACACATACAACTGGAGTTAAAGATAAATACATATATTAAATGCATGGCTCAAAAATGACAATGCGTCTTCTTTATCTGCCTTCAAGTAGAACTTAAAATAGACCCCGGTCCCCACCTCGGGTTTTCCTCGCGCCCACGGGCTTACGCTGCGCGGCTGGGCCAGCAGGTGGCGCGGCTCCCGCACTTTTTTTTCCCGGGACTGACCGCACGGCCGCCGCCCACTCCGCAGTCCACCCCACCGCCCGCCGCGCTCGCGATCGCCACAAGGTCAGGCCACCGCGCGTCACCGCCCCTGGCTCTGCTAGAAAGCGCCAGGGCCCAGATTCCTTTCGGGTGACTGGGTTGGGAGGAGAAGTCGCTCAGCGTAATTGTCGGAGCCGAAATAAACAGAGACTCCGCGGCCGGGCGGGACCTTACCCGGAAGTCGCCCAGAACAGCTCTAGCCTTCGCTGAAACCTCGTCCGCCCCCTCCAACCCAGAGACGAAAAGGGGAAACATCACGGCCAGAAACTGTTGGCACAACTCCACAGATACTCTCCCGGGCCCAGCCAGACTCCATAAGTCCCGCGCCTGGCCCCCGAGGATTGCAGGGGCTGAGGAGAAGGGCAAAGCGGGGACCTTGAAGCGAGGGCGCCGCGGCCCTGGCCCCGCCCCAGTCCTGGCCAGGGAGCGCCGGCAGCGGCACCTCCCAGAAGGGGCGGAGCCGACGACGCCTTCTTCCTTCCTGACCTGCGCGCGCAGCCTGCTGCCGCCGTCCGCGCCTGCTCCTGCTCCTCCGCTCTTCTTGCGCGGGGTGCTGAAACAGCCCGGGGAAGTAGAGCGGCCGCCGGGGACCCTAACCAGCCGAACGCCGCCGGTGTCCCAGCCTCGCGCGGCCACAGCATGAGCGCTCGCGGCCTGGCCCTTGGCCTCCTCCTGCTGCTACTGTGTCCGGCGCAGGTGAGCGGTCGCCGGCCACCGGGACGCCCTGTGGGGAGGTGGCGGGGCCGAGAGCCGGCGAGGGCGACGGGCCCAGCGGCGGCTCAGGCCCGGGTCCTGGGGAAGTTGGTCTAGCGATGGAGAGCTCGGAGGTCTCTCGCTTGTCCTGTTTCTGTCTCCGGCCGTGCTGTCTTTCCTGTGGTCTGGAAGAGGATGGCAGTGGGGGCTGGTTGACCTGTTGTGAGCCTATTCCATCTGTGGTCACCTAATTTCTCTGTGTAGGACGTGGCACCAGAAGAAGGGAGGAAAGTGGGTAGGTAGAGTGGGATAGGGACACCACTTGCTTTTTTAAAAATGCTGCTACATGCGCACGAACTCCAAAATTTAGGAGATCTAACCACTTTATTTCCTCTTTTCATCACCTGAGAATGGAGGTGGAAGTCGAGATAGAGAAGACACACAAACTTCCTCGAGCACCCGGTGAAACTGCCTTGAGTACTTGACATAAATCAGCTTGGTCTTCTAAAGAGGGCAGGTTACTTTTCATCAACTCCTTTTTACACCTCAGGACACTGAGGCTCACAGGACGGTATTGAATTTCCCCTTGTCACTATTAGCCAGCGACAGGGTGGGGCCTGGAACTCGGTGTCCTGCTGACTCCTTCGGGAGGTGGGGGGGCCTTCTGCTTCGTTTAATAGCTTTGGGAAAGAGCACCTCACTGTTTGTGTGTCTGTAGTTTCCTCTTTTAAAACTGGAGGGAGGCGGTGTCACGCTGTGGCTCTCCTTAAACCAAATCAGGATGAGAGTGCCTCTGGGGAATTGTGTCCTTGTGCATATTAACGCCCCTCACAGAGGTGTGGCATCAATAGGTAGTAGTGAATCAGGGTCGAGGGAGTTCCGTGGACTAGAAAAAAACTCTCCTTCGACTTCTATTTAGTTCTCAGAAGGGAACAGATGACGTTGATCCAGTGTCGGACTAAGAGCTTTTTTTTTATTTTTTATTTTTTATTTTTGTGACGGAGTTTCGCTTTTGTTGCCGAGGCTGGAGTGCAATGGTGCGATCTCGACTCACCACAACCTCCGCCTCCCAGGTTCAAGCAATTCTCCTGCCTCAGCCTCCCGAGTAGCTGGGATTACAGACATGCACCACCACGCCCGGCTGATTTTTGTATTTTTAGTAGAGACGGGGTTTCTCCATGTTGAGGCTGGTCTCGAACTCCTGACCTCAGGTGATCCTCCCGCCTCAGCCTCCCAAAGTTCCGGGATTGCAGGCATGAGCCACCGCGCCCTGGGGGTGAAACCCTGTCTTAAAAACATTTTGTTTTTCTTTTAATTGTTGAAGTTGAGGCTGCTGTGAGCTGTGATCACACCAGTGTACTCCAGCCTGGGTAACAGAGCAAGACCCTGTCTCAAAAAAAATAAAATAAAAGAGACAGAGAAATACATAATAGCAATTGTGTGCCTTAGAGAAAATATAGCTATTTTGTTTCCTTGGAGTTTTTTAAAATTTATTTTTAAAATTTATTTTAGAGACAGGTTCTTGCTCTGTTGCCCAGGCATGGGGGCAGTGTTGCCATCATAGCTCACTGCAGCCTTGAACTCCTGGCCTCAAGCAGTCCTTCCACCTTGGCCTCCCAAAGCACTGGAATTATTGTGAGCACCACTCCTGGCCCCACCTAGAGTTTTAGATCAGGACCTTAAATTGGCAGGCTTCCTTTTTTTTTGGAGACAGAGTCTCTGTTGCCCAGGCTGGAGTGTAGTGGCGCAATCTCAGCTCACTGCAACCTCTGCCTCCTGGATTCAAGCAATTCTGGTGAATCCCGAGTAGCTAGGATTACAGGTGCCCACCACTACGCCCAGCTAATTTTTGTATTTTCCGTAGAGATGGGGTTCTGCCATGTTGGCCAGGCTGGTCTCGAAATCCTGACCTAGCGATCTGCCCGCCTCGTGTGGTGATTACAGCTGTGAGCCACCTCGCCCAGCCAGGCTTCACATTATTAAGTAGCTTTCTCTCTCAAATATGTTTCAAATCTCAAGTATCCAAGACTGATGGCCAATGAGTGCTTCTTCTGTGACATTTGGGATAGGTCAGAGGTTTGTTGTAAGTCTCTTGCAAAAATGCCTGGCAGCCTTTTCAAGGTCTGTAAACCTTAACTGGAAATAATCCTATTATTGTTTTAGAAATTCCTCATGTCTGAAAGCTTTCAGTGCACCTGAACAGATTGGGGTGGAGCCTTGAAGCCAAACAGATTGGGAGAGAGTGTCTGCTTTTAGAATTCATACATACCAATGATAGCAGCTCATCTAGCTTCAGTCTGAGCGCTAGTAGAGTTCTATCATGGAATTATAGACTAGTTGTCCTGTGTAAGGTCTGAAATACATGTTGGGGGGATTTTTGCTTTTTTTTAATGTTCAGTATGTACAGATGATGAAATAACATTACTAAACTGCCTTGTTTTTAAATCCTGTAGTCATTCAAAAAAATGTATGCAGTTTTGAGACATAGCTTTTATTTCTCCTGGCTGTAATTTTGCTTTATCTTGAGGGACTTGGAACATAGAGAAGCCTGGGTAGAAATTAAGCATTAAAATGGCTTTTCCTGAGAAGACTGGGAATGGTTAATCTTTTGACCTGGGAGTGATTGAGAACAACCATCTGAAATTGGAATGACAGTGGGAAATCTTTCCCCATCTTTCCCACTCCTTGACTGATGCTGTGATCAGAAATTTTACTAACAGAAGTAATCAAGGGGAAAATGAGATTTTTTTTTTTTTTTTTAATTTGAGCCAGTGGGCAGAGGGAAAAGGACTTGCTGAATAGGCCTTTGTATTCCTTCAGTGTTTGTTATATTACCCAGAACAAAGAATCACTCTGGTCATGAAGACAGTGTGCTCTCTCTTTGCTGGGTAACCCTCACTCTCCACTCCTAAAAGGGATGCAGTATTCTAAGCATGGCAAATTACCTACAGCGGAAGCCTGGATCAGTCGTCTCTGATCTCGGGTGCCTCTTTCTGCCCTTTGACCTCCAGCTCTGTGAAGGGCATCAGCTCTCCAGTCAAATTGAACTGCTTGCTAGCAAAATCCTGCTGTCTTCCAGGGCCCCATTTCACATGCTACATTATCTACGACATTCTTGTCCTGTTCCCCTAACTAGAATCCCTTCCCTCTGAAGTTCTGGACCTTTGTTTAAACTGCTGCAGCAGCATTGGCTGCCTCGTTAAAAGACCTTGGTGTGGGTCTTAACTCTTCTCTGTTCCCAAGAGTGATCTTGGGTAAGCCAGTTATCCTCTGGAGCCTTAGTTCCCTCCTCTGTAAAATTGGATTAACTATGCCAGCTATGCTTGTGAAAGACAAATATTTTCTAATTCAACTACCAAACTGCAGGCTCCTTAAGAACAATAACTGTTGATCTCCAGTATCATCTACAAATGTGGCCAGGACACTTGAGTTGGGACTCTTTTTTTTTTTTTTTGAAATGGGGTCTCTCGTGCTGTCCCCCAGGCTGAAGTGCAGTGGTGTGATTGTGGCTCACTGCAGCGTCGACCCTGGGCTCGAGCTATCCTTCTGCCTCAGCCTCCCAACTAGCTGGGATTGCAGGTGCACGCCACCATGCCCACCTACTTTTTAAATTTTTTGTAGACACAGGGTCTTGCTGTGTTGCCCAAGGTGGTCTTGAATTCCTGGGCTGGAGATCCTCCTACCTTGGCCTCCCAAAGAACTGGGGTTACAAGCATGAACCACCATGCTGGCCCGGGAATCTTTTTTTTTTTTAATTTTCGAGACCAGGTCTTACTCTGGTAACCCAGGCTGGAGCGCAGTGGCATAATCTCAGCTCACTGCAGCCTTGACCTCCTGGGCTCAAGTGATTCTCCCACATCAGCCTCCCGAGTAGCTGGGACTGTAGGTGTGCACCATCATGTCCAGCTAATTTTTTTGTATTTTTAGTAGAGAAGGGGTTTTGTCAGGTTGCCCAGGCTGGTCTGGAACTCCTGAGCTCAAGTGATACCATCTGCCTCAGCTTCCCAAAGTGCTGGGATTACAGATGTGAGCCACCATGCCTGGCCCACTGGGACTCCTTAGTCATAAGATATTTGGGCCTTGAAATGGATTTTTGGGGAGAGACTTAGAAACTAGTGGCAATCAAAATTGGGTTTGCAGTTGGTTTCCAGGTGATGGCAATGATCAGCCGCAGCCAGCCAGGTTTTTCTTCATCTGGACTATGCTTCTCACTTTCAAATTTTTGGAACATTTGCTTTGGCAACAAAACTGTTTAAAAACCAACTCTCTCTGGTGCAGATGTTCTGTTGGAGGATTTGAGAGGAGCTTTAAAACTGTAACTTCTTGTTACTGTCCCTTGCTTAGGTCACAAGAGGAACTCAAAATAATTTCATAAACATGAATTGGCTGCCCTGGATGCAACAAAGGATAAGATCAAAAGAACCCATTAAAAAAATCAGTCTAGGCTGGTCCTAAGGTAGTGCGTTATCAGTTGATCAAAGTCAGTTACAGATTGAACTCCTTGTTCTACCCTTTGCCTGTTCTCACTACTGCACTTGACTAGTCCAAAACAATAAGTAAATAGTAAAGAAGAAAAGGCCATCTATACACTGTAAAGTGCTGTGTAAATGTTCATAATTACTATCCCTGTCTTCTTCATAGTTGATGGGGGGAAGGCTGGATACATAAAAAAATGGTGATACAGTAAGAAGGGCTCAGGTAAGAATGAAGATAAAGTGTTATGGAGGGTCCATGTTTGAGCTGAGATTTGGAGGATAAATTAATGTATCAGGTGGACAAGACGAAAACTAGAGAAAATAGCCAGGAGAGTTGCCTAATTGTTGCCCAAAACTATTGAACTGTTCACTTGAAAAGGATGGATTTTATGGTATGTAAATTACATCAGTAAAGCTCTTAAAAAAATTTGCAGGGTTCTGTATACTAGATTACATAAGACTACAGACAAAAGCGACCCACATTTTGCATACTACTCCATTGCTGCCACATCCGATCTGGTTTTATCC